CATCAGCAACAGGCGGCGCCGACCAGCCTCATAGTCAGCCTCGTCCACGCTGACCAGCAGGCGGACTGCCTCCCGGCCCACGGCCTCACGCAGGGCCTCAGTCAGGAACACACCCCGCAGGGCCTGCAGCAGGGCACCACTCAGGTAGTCGCCCCAGAAGGCGTCCAGATAGGAAAGCTCCGAGAACTTGATGTCGCATACCACGGAGCCTAAGTCCCGTGAGCGCAGCACCGCGGTGGCCTGCCCAAACACGTCCAGCTGCCGCGCCAGCGCCTGGGGCCTCCGGGATGCCACGCCCTGCTCCAATGCCGGCCCATGCTCACAGTACTCTGCTCGCACCCGGAGCCGGATGTCTGCAGGAAAAGAGGAACTTGTCAGGGAGAGAGTCGAGGCCCCAGGGACACACTGCGCAGGTGGACTGACACCCTTCCTCCTGCGGGCTCCTCCCTCTGCCCGTGGATTGACCACGCCCCACCCATTCCTTCCCCCTTCCAGTAACCACACCCAAGTAAGGGTGGAGACCTCCTGTCCCGTCCCCTCCGCCACCCCCAGCAGCATACTCCATTGCGGCCTCCTGGCTGCTCCTGTCACCACTAGGCAGGTGCAGCTTTAGCCCTGTGCCCCACCCCCACCAGGTCTCACAAGGCTCGTTCCCTCACTTCCTTCAGGTCTTTGCTCAAATGCCACCTTCCCGACCAGCCCATTTAAAGCTGTACACCGCCCTCCCCAGCGTCCCCAGTTCCCTCTATCCTGCTCTATTTTTTCCCAAAGTGCTTATCACCTTTGAACCTACTCTAGTCTACATTACTATCAAGCTCATCTGTCTCCCCCAGGGTGAGCTTCCTGAAAGAAGGTGTTTGGTCTGTTTTGTTCTCTTGTGCAACCTCTGACACACAGCAGGTGTTCAGTGTATAGCTGCTCAAAGAACCAATGAATGAACAAATGGACTTGCCTTTAGGCAACCAGTCTCACTGCACTCCAACAATGAATTCATGTGGGGTCAACCACATCCACCCACCTATCCGAGCAAGCCCCAGTGGGTGAGGGTCCCGAACAGGCCCAGGAGACTGGAACTGTGCTGGCTCTACAGGGAATCAAGCGCTCTCTTTCCACAGAGGCTGCTAAGATGGTAGGATGTCAGCCTGGAGCTGCTGGGGCCATTCTGCCACCAGGAAGGGAGAGAATGAAGTCTACAAGGGCCAAACATAGAGAGGAAAAGATTTCTGCTTTCATCTCGTCAGCCTGCATCACACCATGCCTGCATGTTCAGTTACAACCCATTCTCTTTTTTGCGTAGGCCAGTTTGAGTTGGATTTCTGTCACTTAGAAACAACGTTCTGCCTAATACAACCCTGACTACAGCTGCCCAAAAGGGGTAGCAACTCTGCACAAGGGGCAGGACTTAGGACCTCTGAGGCTACCCCTGCAGATGTGACCTCATGCCTATCACCTCCCCTCTGGGATTACCGCGTTCCTACCTGTGAAACAGGGCTAATAACAGTACCTCCTCCCTACACACACACGGCTGTCCTGAGGATCAGCTGCAAATGGTAACAGCAGCCAGCATTTACAGCATGCTGATGACCTGCCCAGCACTATGCCGTGTGCTTGACTCAGGTGAATACACTTATTCCACCAGCAACCCTGTGAGGCAGGCCTGTTATCATCCCCAATTTACAGACAAGGAAATTACAGAGAAGTGACTTGCCCGAGGTCACATGGTCAGGCAGTGGCAGTGCTTGACAAAGGTCATTTCATCTTCTATGGCCCAGAGAGCTGGCTTCTGGATCAGACAGAGCTGATTCCCGCCCGGGATTGGGTACTAGCTGTGTGACCTAAGTCATGACCTCTCAGAGCCCAGGTTCCTGCCTAAACCAGGACAATCCCTGCTGTAAGGAGCTGCTAGGAGGATTACAGAGAGCAATGGCTGAAGAGGAACTGGCTAGCACTGTGCCCGGTGCGACCCCAAGAATGACAGCGACCAACAGCTCTGATGTGCTGAGTGTTTGAGCCTTGGGCATTCAGAGGGATCACCCACCAGCCTGCAGGGCAGGGGTTACCCTTCAACCCATCTGTCAGATGAAGAAACTGCAGCTCTGGAAGGGAAAGTCATGTGCCCTGGACTCCCTTCACCTTTCACAGACGTGTTGCCAGCAGAGTCCCTGCTCCCCGAGAACAACGTCTCAGCACCACCCACTTCCTCCTCCCCAACTCAAACCCCAAACCCTTCCTTTTCCTGCCTCAAGGGGAGCCCCACCCTCTCCACTTGAGGCCCAGGGAAGCCTGCCGGCCTCAGCCCCCAGGCCCTCCATCCTGAAGACCACAGGACACCTCTGGGCCTGCCTCCTTGACTCCTACAGTGTTTGGCCATGCACGCCCTCCCTTGGGTGTGGACTGGGGAGCGGGGGCTGGGAGGAGCAGCACCTGTCCAAGGCCACACAGGAGCTGGGCAGCAGCAGAGGCACAGAGCCAGGTGGTGGAGTCGACAGACCTCGAGGTGAGTCCCGGCTCTGCCACTCTCTAGCTGTGGGGCCTTGGGCATGTGACCTCACCTCTCTGAGCCTCAGTTTTCCCATCTGAAAAACATAAACAGACAAACAAGAGGTCCCTACTGCACTGTGAGGTCATGAGGATTAAATGAGGCAACTCATAAAGTGCTTGACCCAGGGCCTATGACACAGAAAGCACCCACAAACAGGAACTGTGGTTTCACAACCATCTCTCCCCGACAGACCCTACCCAGGCCTTGATCTCTCTCACCTGGGCCCAAGCCAACCTCCTCCCTCATCTCCTCCTTCAATCCCCACTACATCCTCCCATAGCCTGCCTTCTAGCCACAATGGAGGTGCTCCCCGCACAAGCCTTACTCAGGCAAGAAATGGCCTGACAACCTCCTCTGCCCAGAATGCCCTATTCACCCACCAAGGCCCTGCCCAAAGAAGCCCACATCCCCACCCAGCTTGCCCCTCTCCTCAGCATGGATCCCTGTGGCCCCATGGAGTAACCGACCTATCTATTCACCCAGAGCGCCCACCACATGGGGAATGGACAGACGGCAGGCTTCCATTCAATGGCTACTGACTGCACACCAGGCACACGGGTGACACGAGGGCCCTACCTCAAGTGGGAGAGAGGGGCACATGACCCATAGTTACAGAGCACTCCCCAGCACTGGGCCCTGATCAAGGCTGCCCCTCTGTGCCCACCTGATCCTCAGAGCATTTTCATTATCCCCACATTACAAACGAGGATATCCTGCACCAGACCACGGTCCAACCTCCAATGTGGAAACACAATCACGGTTCAAAAGAGGACAGACTGCAATGGGGAAAGAAGGACATGCAGTATCTGAGCCACTGTTCCATCCCTGGCCCCGGCTCACGTGCTTTGCACATACTGTCCCCCTTGCTCTACACCATGAATTAATGACGGCCAACACTTACGCTGCCCTCACCATGAGCTGGCGCAGCGCTACAGACATCGCAGGCACTGACCCTTTTGATCCTCCTAGCAACCTTAAGAGGTGATGCTATTATTATCCCCTTTTGGCAGATGGGGAAACAGAGGTATGGAGGTTGAGTCACCTACCCAACACGACACAGGAAGTGGCAGAGCTGGAATTTCAATTGAGGTGCTGACTCCAGAGCCTGGGCTCTTAAGCACCCCTACCCTGTTGGCTGCCTCTCACACACAATACATGTACACAAAAACATATACGTACACAGACATGTAATTAAAGGCGTCCTGAGGGCCAGGAGAGAAAAATGACACAGAGTGAGTTATAATTTAGACTGAAGGGATAAGAGAGGACCTCTCTGAGGAAATGACATTTAAAGCAAAGTGTGGAGGTTAAGTAGCTTTAGACAGGAAGACAGGGGAGAAGGGAAGACCAGCATTCCCAAAACAGGCAACAGCACATGAGAAGAGTCTGGAGGCAAAAATCAACTTGGGCACTCACAGACTAGAGGGGCCAGTGTGGCCGGAACGTGCCTCAAGAGAAGGGCACAAGCGAGGCCACGAAAGGGCAGGGGCCAGGCCACGCCCCGGTGGGCCGGCTCAGGGTCTGGTCTCGGGCGGCAGTGCAGCACCACAGTCTGGAGTCTGGGGCCTCCAGAGGCTGCAACTTCCTGCACCTCAGTGGCCGCCTCTGAGGCTGCTGGATAAAGGATAACCGGTGGGGTCATGGTGAGCATTAGAGAACTGAATCTAAGTCAAAAGCTTAGGCTGGTGCCTGGCACGTAGCGCATCCTCCAAGTGTAGCAGGAAAGACGTGACCTTCTGACTCTATTGGAGATGACTCCAGCCACTCTGTAAGAGCAGCCGGTTAATCAGGACCAGTGGCTGGGCAGAGGAGGATGGCGGCAGCAGAGATGGAGAAAACTAGAGGGAGGGGTCCAGGAGTGGCAGTGAGTGGGAGGTAGGAAGAGCACCCACCACCCTGCGATGTGGGCTGGGACCGGCTGAACTGTTTCTCAGGCCAGGAACACCAAGCATCTGCTGACATCCTGCTCCACTGTGGCAACTAGGAAGAAATGCTCCTGCCCCTGGGTGGGGTGTGAAGGGTCTATGCCTTCACAGAATGGAGGAGCTCCTGCTTCCCATACTCAGCAGGGCCCTAGCATCCTCTTCCCCGACTCCATACCCCATCATTCCCTCTTAGGGGGCAGAATGGGATGCAGAGTAAGGGGGGGGTCTCCCAAAGGGGTACTGTGGGGCAATTAATCACTTCTGTGTGTAGCCTTTCTAGCCATGGGCTTGTAACTCCCACCTAGGTGACTGTGACAAAGTAACTGTGGCCTACTAAAGGCATTGGTCAGTTTTGCCTTAAAACAGCCAATTCCAGAGCAGAGAGGAAGAGCCCACCACCAAGGAAGGAGAGACCAGCAGGGGATGGCACTGTGGGCTTCCCAGCCCCCAGAGACAGAAAGCTGAGCGCCTTTGGGCAGAGACTGAGGGCCAGGGAGAGTTCAGCACAGCTGGGGAGAGGCTGTCCTGATGGAAGAACTATATCCCGAGTGTTCTTGAGCCTGAATCGTTAACTACTACTTCCCTAGTAAATCCCATAATTTTGAGTTCAGTGTGGCCATCGCAATGAATTATCGAACCCAACAGAGAAATAGAGAGTGCTGTTGGGGGGACGGCTGCTGTCAGAATTGGTAAAGATGGTGGCGAGAAGAGGCGTGTCTGACCTCTGCCTCATAGGAATCAGCCTTGGGCTGCTGGTCGTGGTTCTCCTTCCCCCTTGTGGGGTTGGAGGAGGTCAGACACCTCCCCTAAGCCGTTCTTACAGGGACCATGAGCAAGGTATGAAGGAGCAGGCGCTGGGCCTGATGAGCAACCTTGTGTGTCAGATCCTGTGCTGGGGGTGGCCAGGGACCCAGCGATGAACCTCACTCAGTTCCGCCCTCCAGAACTTCCTAGTAAGATGGGCTGGGGACAAGGAGCAACCGTGCTCCCCACAGCACTGATGGGGAGTTTCCAGCCCTGGGTTGAGAGCAGCGTGTGCTTCCACGGAAAGAATTCTGCTCCTCCACTGCCACCCTGGGGCCAGCTGCCACCCTTCTCTGGGCCCCTGTGGGAGCCCCTTCCTCCCCAGCCTCCTGCCTCCACTCTTGCCTTGCTCCCTGTCTCTTCCCCATGACCAGCCACAGTCATCGTGTCAAACGTAAGTTCTTCCTCTACTGAACTAAGGGACTGAGGCAGTGAGGAGACACTGCCGCAAACGACAGAGGAAGCTAAGCCAACACTGCATGCTTCCTAATGGAAGAAGAGAGTACTTTCTAGGAAGTGATCTCGGAAAACAACAACAAAATAAAACATCACAGCTGAATCTGATCAAAGCTCTACAGATCCAGCTACCAATTTTCAGGAAAGACAGAGGCAGCCAGGGTAACACGTTCAGTCAATCCTACCACAGGACACAATCAGCAAAATCCAGTCTTTGGGCAACTCTACAGGACTCAAGAGATACAGTGACAATGCAAAGGAGAAAAAGCCAAGAAAAGAGAGTGGGGGAACTCCACAGATCAGGAGAGACGTAGAGACGATGTCTATGAGACAATTTCAGCATTGATTAGATATTTGATAGTAACGAATTACTCATTTTTTTTGGTGTGATACCGGTTGTTTTGTTTTTTTCCAAGAGTTTTTATGTGTTAGTAATACATAGTGACAATCTACGGATGAAATAAGAGGCCGTCTGAAATTGACTCCAAAATAATGATTCCAAAACACGGCCAATGAAACAAGATCAGCCCTGAGTTGACAGTTGATTGAAGCATGGTGATGGGGACATGGGGGTTGATTATACAATGCTTCTGGATATTTTCCAGAGGAAAAAGCTGAAGAAGGAAAAAAAAGGAAAAGTTGATCCTGTCATTCAAACCCTCCCAGTGCGTTCCATCATTTGAAAAAAAAAACAAAACTCTTACCCAGGGAACAAGGCCCTGCAGGACCTGCCCCTGGTTGCGGCTCCTGTCCTTACCTCCTGTGAGTCACCCCCTCACCCGCTCTACTCCAGCCTCCTGGCTGTTCCCACCACCACTGGCCCACCCCCACCTCCAGCCTTTGCTCAGCTGGTCCCTCTCTCTAGAACACTCTGCCAAGCCATCCACACAGCTTGCTCCCTCCCTTCAAGCAGATATCTTCCCCAGAGACCTTCCTAGATCACCCTACATGAAAATCAGGTATACGTAAAACAGCATTTTCCACCACTCTCTATCCCTTCCCTTTGTTTTCTTCATAGCCGACACCTGAAGTATCTGTCTCTTGGCTTTCTACTCTCACCAGAACACAAGCTCCATGAGGGCAGGGGCCTCTTATCCCTGCACTGCTTAGCACACAATAAAACCAAAACCAAATCAAACCCACTGTCGTCGAGTCGATTCTGACTCATAGCGACGCTACAGGACAGAGTAGAACTGCCCCCACAGAGTTTCCAAGGAGCGGCTGGTGGATTCAAACTGCCAACCTTTTGGTTAGTAGCCAAGCTCGTAACCACTGTGCCACCAGGGCTCCAACACATAGCAGGTGCTCTATAAACACAGAATGAACAAATAAACAAACATAGGCCTTGGATTATGAGTTTCGGCCCAGCTCTGCCTCAGCCACTCATCACTCCAGACTATCAACTTCCTTTCCCTCAGCCTGTTTCCTCCTTTGCATAGTGGGGAATGTCACCTCTACCTCATGGCTGTCTTGAGAACTCAAGGTCAGGTGTGGAACACACCCAGCACAGTACCCAGTGGATGGCCCTTAGGGGGAGGTGGAAACTCAGAGGACCTGTACCAAGCCTGGGGTCCCCCAATCCCCCCTTCATCACACACTCGGGAGCTTAAGTCTAGTTCTATCCCCTAAGACGGCAGCTAGCTGACACTGCCAGCTGTCACAGGTGAGGAGGGGCAAGAACAGCAGGCCCCTTTAGAGTCAGGTAAGGAGGGGCCTCCTTCCAGCCTGCGGACTGGGCCTCATTAAAGGTGAGCCATCCCCACTTGTCAGAAGGGAAAACTGACACCCAAATGGGAGAGCCTCACTCCAGCCCCACCCTGCCTGTGAGTCAGCAGTCAGACCTGCTCATCTTCCCTTCCCCCATAAGACCCAGCCACATCCCGGTGAACCACCTCCCTGCCCCAGCCCAGCCCTCAACAAAGAGACCTGAACTCTCAGCTTGGCAACTAAGACCCCTCCCCAGCCCACCTGGCCCTGCTCCTACCACCCTCACCCCCGGCAGTGACTCCCTCTGCCTGTCCACCAGCACAGCCAGCCTGGTGGCTCTGGCAATTACTGCCTGAATCCGGGCAGCCACCCAGGAGCTGTCTGAGGACATGGAGCTAGCCCCACTGGTCTCATCCATAAAGAGAGTATGAAAACGGAAGGAGGCAGGTGTCCAAGCTTTGTGGACTGAGGACTTCTGCAGATGGCAGAGGTCTTCTGGGGGACCGAAGCTGCCCACGGCCTGTATCTTTCAGGCTCTACTTACTCATGCACACCCCGGCCTGAGTATCCCACCAGCTTCCAGATGGGCCTTCTCCCCAGAAACCTTTCTACCTGTGCGCCTGCTGCTCCCTCTGCCTTCCTCCCTCTTCCCCAGAGGTGATCCCATGCCCGCCTCCACCCCCGCCACGTCTTTCAGTCTCAGTCCTTCTAGAGGTGCTTTACTAAATCTGACAAGGCACACGACTCTGTCCCCTTCTCTGGCTTCGTCTGTCTTTAGCACACTCATCCTTGATGTCACACAACATATTGGTTCATTTGAGGGTGATCTGCCTCCCCGACCACAATGCAAGCTCCTCAAGGTCTGACATTTTCCCTTCCTGGTCCGGTTCTGGGTCCTCAATGTCTAGAACAGTACCTGGCATAGCATGTTGCTCAGTAATAAAAACCAAACGAAAGAACAAATAAGTCCTTCCCTGCTCCCTATCACCCCAGAATAAAGTCCAAACCTCCACCCAGTGTTCAGGTCTGCTACCTGCCTTATCTCCCCCTGCCCCCACCGCACAAAGCCTCTACCCCCAACAGACTAAATCCTGAGCACATCCCGCCATCTACACTTTGCATGTGCAGTTCCCCTGGCCAAGAATGCCCTTCCCCATGTCCTCGTCCAGCTTCCTCCAGCTGGTCTTTGAGATTGCTGCTCAGGAGGTACCTCCACAGGGAAATTGAGGCTGGCCAGAGGTGTCCCCTGCACACGCCAAAGCCCAAGCTCACACCGCTCAAGGCGCCTGTTGCCACATGGGTCCAGCTGCCACTTTCTTCATCTGTCTCCCCTGCAGCCTGGGAGCTCTGGAAGCAGGGGGACCAGATGTGACTGGCATCCCCAGCCTTGCTCAACACAGAGAAAAGGGCGCCAGAAATGTGGGTGTGAGAGGAAGGGGCACAGGCAGGGGATGAAGAAGGGAGGAGGATGGAGGGAGGAAGCCCACACATGCCTGTGTCCACCCCACAGACCCAGGTGGAATTTCTCGAAGGCAAGGTCCGAGCTCCTCACAAACCCAACCCTACCTACCTGTCTGCGAGTCTAGTCAGCCCCATGTCCAAAATAGTTCTCTATTTCCTTAGTTCACCCCTTCTCACCCTCTGCAGTGCAACTCCCCCAGGCCAGGCCTCTGTCCTCTCCTTCTGGTTGGACCGCACAGCCTCTTCACTCATTCTCCTGCTGCCCCATTATTTAACCTAGTTAATACATACCCAGCAGAGCAATACTATACACCAGCACTGTTCTAAAACATTTTACAAGAAATCACTTATTAACTGGTTTTTTAGATGATGTCAAAGTCTCTTTAAAAACAAGTATCAGAGCACGTCACTCCCCTGCTTGACAGCACTTCCTGTCACACCTAAAATAAAATCCAAACTCCCATACACACCAGGCCTGCTAGGCCCAGCTGCTCGGGGCCTGGTCCTCCACCTGCTCCCTGCCCTCTCCCCACACCACCACCCACCAGCCACGCTGGTCTGTGTCCTTCCCCCACTCAGTCAACAGCCTCCTCCCCAGGGAGGCCCTCCTTGGCCACCCACTCTCTCCCCCATCACCCTGTTTTTATCTCCTTCACCTCACTTCGCATTTTCTAAAGTGATCTGCTCCATGGGTCTTGTCACCTGACTACAGGCAGAGGCCTCGTCTGATCCCTCACTGCTGGGTCCCCTGCCCCACGCACACTGCAAAGTAACAGTGAGAACAGAAGACTCTTACAGGGCACCTGCCCCCTGCTACGCACTGTCCCAAGAATACCATGTCAATTTTTTCTTACAATAGCCTAATTGAGAGGTACTGTTACCAGCTTCACTTTACAGATGTGGAAGCACAAAGAGGTTCAGTCACTTGCCCAAGGCCAGACGGCTTGTAAGTGCAAAACCCAGGATGTGACCAGGCAGCCTGGACCCAAGGTCCTTGTTCTCTACCTCTACCATACTCCACCAGCGCACAAGAGATGACTGGTGAATAGTGAACCTCTGCACTGTTTGCTGACTAAACAAATGAAATTGGAGGCAAGTGGCTGTCAGAGAAAGCTTCCTGGAGGAGGCAGCACACAATCTGATCCTGCAACTATGGACAGGACATCGACCAGCAAAATGGCAAAAGAAAAAACAACTATTCCGCTGCATCTAACAGGTGGGTGAGAGCTGCTGCCCACCCCACTGCACGCGTCACATCCCAGACAAACACCGGTTTCTCCCACCCTCTGACTCCACAGCCCGACCTAGGTACTATGCATGGACTCCTCAAGACCCACAGACACCTACCACAGGTCACTTTGCCTTCTGAGGTGGGCCTGGCTGGCTCCTGCTGCTGCTGGGGGGCGGCTGGCGCCCCTCTCCGCCGCCGCCTGGCACCACCACTGGGCCGGCCCCGACTCCGCCGCTGCCGCTTGGTTGGGGGGGAGCCTGAGGAGAGAAAGATGGGACAGGCTGAGGAGCAGGTGACAGGCAGGCACCCAGGAAAGAGCTCAAGGCTGGTCTGGGTGCTATGAGACCACCTTAGGTGAGCCCCTCTGCCTCTCTGGGCCCCAGTGGCCCTATTATAGATGAGGAGTGCAACCTAGCATCTTCTAGAAGGACAGAGAAGCACATCCAACCACCCCACAGTCTTAGTCCCAGGGCTGAGCCTAAAGAAATCCTTGCACACTCATACTAGGAACCAGCAGGACAACAGCCACTGGGGTACCATCTACAATCACAAAAACTTAAAAACAATATAAACGTCTGACAAGAAGAATCAGCACTATAGAGTGATGTCCAGGACAGGCTGCCTAGTGAAATAAGGCAAGGAGCAAAACAAGTGTCTATAGTCTGCTACACTTTATACAACACAGGAAGGCAAATAAGAATACATACAAACGTTTCATTATTTTTGCAAAATAAAACACTGTAAAAATAAATTAAAAATGGTTGGGGGGGGGGTCAATGATGGAAATGAGACTTCTAAGGACACCTGGCCACATAATTTAGTCTTGACTTGAATTCTTAACTGTTTTACATGTTCAAAAAAAAAAAAAAAGAAACAAATTATGGTACATACACACAATGGAATACTATAATGGAGTACTATGCAATGAGAAAACACAATGATGAATCTGTGAAGCATCTCACAACATGGATGAAACTGGAAGACATTATGCTGAGTGAAATAAGTCAATCACAAAAGGACAAATATTGTACGAGACCTCTATTGTAGTAACCCATGGAAAAGTTCACACACAAAATGTAACAATCTTTGTTAGTTACCAGGGATGGGAGGGGTGGAGGGAAATACTAAATAGGCAATAGATAAGTGGTGTCTTGGGAGAAGGGTGAGACAGTACACAATACTGGGGAAACCAGCACCACTTGTACAAGGAAAGGTCATGGAAGCTCCACAGACACATCCAAACTCCCTGAGGGACTGAA